TTTGGGTTGCAGTTTGGGCACTCAGTCTCTAAAAGGTTTGCCATCACTGCCCTATACCATCTCAGACAAGTGAATGTCCAGTGTCTTCTTAAAACCCTCCAGTGATGGAGCGCCCACAACTTCTGGAGGCAAGCTGTTCCACAGGTTGATTGTTCTCACTGTCTGGAACTTTCTCCTTAATTCCAGGTTGTTTCTCTCTTTGATCAGTTTCCAACCGTTGTTTCTTGTCCTGCTTCTGTTTGATATTGTGTGAAATCCTCAGTTGCTCAAAGCCACAATAGCTGTGAAGGTCACTATGCATTGTCCCATCTGGTGACAACCTCAGCATTTAGACTATCAAGGCTTACAGTGTGAGAGGAGTAAATGCTAAAGCGTTCGAATCAACTAGTGAAATGAAAGGAAGAGAAATAGATATGTGTGGCTGTCTGTCAGAAACGACAACAAAAAAGTGAAAGGATCATTGTAATGAATTCATTCTTTGGGAAGTCATTGATCAATGATAACGTGGTGTATACTTGTATACAACCTGTATATTTGCATTGTATACAAATGAACCATTTGAACTCTTAGTCTCTATTTCATATAAAATCAGATCAGATAAGCTTTATTGTCATTTTTTTTCCTGTGGGCACAACGGCACACATTAAAAATGAAATTTAGTTGCCTGCTCTCAAGCGTACACACACATAGCAGACATTTAAAACATACTAAGTACAACATATGTATATAGTAAAACATATGTAAAATAGAGGCACAATATAAAAAAGGCATTGAGACTCTAGAAAGATTGCAGAGAAGGGCAACAAAGATGATTAGGGGACTGGAGGCTAAAGCATATAAGGAACGATTGCTGGAATTGGGTATGTCTAGTTTAATGAAGAGAAGGACGAGGGGGGACATGATAGCAGTCTTCCAGTATCTCAGGGGCTGCCCCAAAGAAGAGGGAGTCAAGTATTCTCCAAAGCCCCTGAGGCCAGGACAAGAAGCAACAGATGGAAACTCATCAAGGAGAGAAGCAACCTAGAACTAAGGAGAAACTTCCTGACAGTTAGAACAATTAACCAGTGGAACAACCTGCCTCCAGAAGCGGTGAATGCTCCAACAGTGGAAGTTTTTAAGAAGAGACTGGACAGCCATTTCTCTGAAATGGTATAGGGTTTCCTGCCCGAGCAGGGGGTTGGACTAGATGACCTCCAAGGTCCCTTCCAACTCTATTATAAACTGAATGTAGATCCATTCACCGTGGATGTATCCAGGTTGAATAATCAGCTTGCTTCGCTGTGACTTTTTGCAATTCTTACAAAGAGACAAAGGACACGGGTCCATAGTCACCATAATTATTTGGGGCAGGTGGCCGACAAAGGTGACCAGGATACGGTTCACCCTGTATCCTCTTTGTCCTTCCACTTTTAGCTGCGGCTTGTTAGTCATTTGGAAGCAGTCTGGCAAAAAGTGAGAAATGATGTTTTCGCAAAGCCATAGTTAAGATATTCTGTTTAATGTGTCATTATGCAGAAATGTTCTAGACAATTAAGAAAGCTTTCAGTGGAAACGGAAATCTATTCTCACTGGCATAAATCTATTTGCTGTGGTCTGTAAAATAGGTTACGGGGAATAAAAAAATACCACGTTAGAAGGGGAAAAATCTTATATGCCATATATTATTATTTCGTCCAGTTCCTGCTCCGAAATATTTTTAAATGGTAGATTTTCTTTCTTTTTTTTTACTTTGTAAGCTGCCCGGAATCATATATGTGAGATGGGCAGTTAGAAAATCAATCAATCAATCAATCAATCAATCCCACCAGCATATATATACAGGGCAAGCTACTTGTATATAAACAGAGACCAAACCCCACTCCTAGCACTGATGATGTTACATAGTTTGGTCATGAAACGTCTGCAAGAAAACAACTGAGCTCAATTCTCCTCCTCCTCCTCCTCCTCCTCCTCCTCCTCCTCCTCCTCTTTTTTTATCAGTACATGACTTGGTATTTCATTGTCCTTCAAACACTGGAGGTTTTTAACAGTAGATCGCACAGCCATTTGTCTGGAATTATATAGGGTTTCCTGCTTGAGCAGGGGGTTGGACTAGATCAAGGCTTTTCAACCAGTGGTATGGGTACCACCTGTGGTACATTGGCAACTGGCAGGTGGTACACGACCATCCTAGAAAAGTGGTAGCGGGGGAGGGGAATGAGCTGAACCGGTGGCAGCACCGCACAAGCCTAAGCAAGAGATGGCTGGAGCTGCAGGGCTTTCAGGGCTCAGCGGAAGCGCCAGGATCAGTGCCGCTTTCCAGCTGATCGGCGCTTCGCGGCTGTCAGGGCTCAGTGGAAGCGCCAGGATCAGCGCCAGGCTCCAGCTGGAGCTCAGCGCTGATCCTGGTGCTTCTGCTGAGCCCAGAAGAAGCGCCGATCAGCTGGAATGTTGCAGCATCTCCAGGGTCTTGTGATTTACATTCAGATGCTTGGCAACTGATTCATATTTCTGACGGTCACAGTGTCCCAGGGTCATGTGAAGTGACCAAAACCTGCTGCAACCACCCAGCAGACGGGGGAATAAAAACCAAACACCCCCCCACCCCACCCCCACTGCCAATCCTCAATAGAAATGCTCACAACAATGAAAACCTCAGACAGGAGGAAGAGTGCCGCCCAGTGGGCAGGCAGGTGTCTTGCT